ATTACAGGTGATCTGATCGAAGATGATTTCTCAATATACCCATCTGCATCAGATATTTCTTGTTTATCAATGATGCTGTCCATGTACGTAAAAAGTCTTCACCTCTTCCAAAGCTACTACATCAAGTAAGATCTGGTTGTTGCTCTCTGTGTTGTATTTTAATAGTTTGTTTCATCTCCTGTGAATATCGAGGCTCTTGCTTTTTCCCTTAAAATTAATGAGACCTTCTGATTCAGAGGCTGCTGATATGCCCTCACCGTTAGCCTTCATATATACAAACAACTTGAACCTAGAAGATTTGAACTAGCATTTCCACTGTATCCATGCTTCCCTTGAAATACGGTCTTTATAATTCAATCGACCAACAGAAAAAAACAGAAAGGGCGAGAATACAGAAACTCATCTAACACCGGTCCACAGTTTGAATGAGTCTGTTAGTTGTCCTCTATGCACGACTTTGAAGTGTAAACCATCGAATGAATTTCGGAGGATATTGACGATATTCTCAGCTATTTAATCCATAATTTCGAAGACAGTTTTATAAGGTTCTCCTATCCACACCGCCAAATGATTTTTTTATAGTCAACAAAGTTGATATTTAGTGATGAGTTCGATTCAGTTGATTGCCTGACAATGATCTGTAGTGTCGCGATTCGGTCTGTGCACAGATAACATTCAATATTGTTATAATATATTCAGTCACAATTCAAATTAAATGCTCTATTCATTCTATGAGTCTAAGGCAGATTTCCTAGCAGGAGATTGTGAGCTTATAAAGGTATGTTTGAGTAGAATTATCAGAAATGATGGTCTTCATTTATTTTAAAAGGATTAACAATGAGATCATAATTGGAATGATCTTCTTCAAGGAATATCGAACCCTAAACCGAATGTTATTCAGTTGCACAATAATATCTTATATTCTATTTCTCTCCGACATATTTTTGTTTTGACTTGATGAGTCTCTGAAATTTGTTCAGTCCTGAATGTTTTAAGGTTGTCGAGGATAAATCTTCAACCTTGGTGCACCAGTTGGAATTCACTAGTACCAAGAGCTTTGGTTCATTTTCAAAAAAAGCATACATCAATACTTTTCAAGTTTGATTTCTTTATATTATTGAATTATCATGTAAAACAATACGTACAAATGAACAATATTGTTTTCAATTAGATCCTCATCAAGCTATACTCTAACATACAGTAAAGTTTATATGCATATATGAAAATATTGAATGAAGGCAGTCAATACGTCGGTCATAACAGTGAAAAAGATTGCAGAAACAAACATGGTAGGTTACTTACTTACTTAAGTCTAATACTCCTCATGAAGGAGGATAGGCCGCTCACCAGCAGTCTCTATCTAATACTATTCCGGGCAATCCTTTCCAGCTCTTTCCAGTTCTTATTCATCCTTTTCATGTCTGATTCTATTTCTCGATGTAACATGTCCTTTGGCCTTCCTTTTTTCCGCTTCCCTTCAGGATTCCATGTTAAAGCTTGCCTCGTAATGCAGTTTAATGATTTCCTCTCCAGCTAGAAGCTGGTTCGTTCTAGCCAACAGAAGGCTATTGCTGATCGTATCCGGTTAATGGATGATGAGTATCTTGAGTAGATAAGTATTTATAAATACTTGTACCTTCTTGATGATGGTTGTCGTAATTCTCCACATTTCAACTGACTGCCTTGACGTTGGTATTGAAGATTGTGACTTTGATATTGGTTGAAAGTTGTTTTGAGTTCCATATGTTCTTCAATTGAAGGAGTGCTGTCCTTGCTTTGATAATCCTCGCTTTTACATCTGCATCTGAACCTCCTTGTTTATCGACGATGCTTCCAGGTATGTGGAGGATTCTACATCATCCAGAGTTTTGTCATCAAGAGTGAGTGGATTGCTGTTCTCCGTGTTGTATTTGAGGACCTTGGTTTTCCCTTTTATGCATGTTGAGGCATACTGATGCAGAGACTGCTTCTGGCTGGTAGGTAAAAAGTACAAATAAATAGTTTCATAATAAGTCCACTAGTTGTGATAAAAATAATAAAGGCCTAAAGGAATGTTACATATTGAGAAGTAGATCAAAGACTTAGATAAAAAAAGATTGGAATAGCATGGGATAGAAATTGTCCAAGTTATGTAATGAGAAGTGTTCAAACAATTAAACAATAAAGAATATGTTCAAAAAAGGGGTAGAGTAAAACAAACGAACGAAGGTATATGAAATAAATAGCAACTTAAATCATTTACCAACGCTCATTATTCCAAGGAAGAGATAAGATTCTAATAAATTGCTAATGAATACAGAGACTTGTATTGTTAGCTTGAATCTCTATAGCTTATGCTGTATGTAAAAGATGAGATTGAACCCTTTAAGAAAAGTAGGATTTATTCTGTAAATTACTTCGCCTGAAGCCCCTTTGGAGCTATTGCTGGTTCTAAGCTCGGATAAAGGAGAAGGGTTGGTAATTGGAATAGCGATACCATCCCGTAGAAAATTAACTTGCTAAGAAATGCTAACCAGAAAAAATAATTCAAACCACTTAAACTCTGCGCTGGGATTTAGAAAGTCTTCACTTAGAAGAGTTATAACGCCTCATGGTGAAAGCCGAGTTCCTTTGGAAGTCACGAGGCCGATGTTTTTTTGATAACCAGAGAAATCATTAATTTAGGTACATGGAATGCTCGTACAATGTGGGAGACTGGAAGAGTCAGCCGTATTGTTGCAGAAAAGAAAAGATACAACCTAGAATAGTTTGTAATCAATGAAACACATTAGATGCAGGTTGGACTACAAAGACTAGCTTCAAGGGAGCTTCTGTTATACTCTGGCCATGAAAAAGAAAATGCTTCTTAAATTAGTCTAAATTATTTGTTTCTGTTTACCAAATAATCACTATCGATCAAGTATGACAGAATGAATCTGCATATTGCTTTGAACATACCCCCTCCCTACGACGAAGGTGGGTGGTGCTCACTAACTCGTCGGCTCAATTGTTTAGTTGTACTCCAAATGCATGGAGGACAGCTGACAGATGAATTCCAAGTAAGGACCGGAGTAAGACAAGCATGTCTACTCTTTCCCTTTCTCTTTCTTCTGGTGGTCGACTGAATTATGAAAATTTCGACATGTGAAGGAAAACACGGCATACAATGGACAACTCAGAACCAATTAGACGATTTGGACTCCGAAGATGAGCTAGCCCTCTTAACGCATACACACAAAAAATACAGATAAAGACAGCCAACATAGCAGCAGTCTCTGCATCAGTAGGCCTCAACAGACACAAAGGGAAAACCAAGGTCCTCAAATACAACACGGAGAACAGCTGAAGCTTGGAGAAATACAACAACCACCATCAAGAATGTACAAGTATTTATCAATAGCTGTCTAAGCGATATACTCAACATCCATCGCCCGGATACAATCAGTAACAGCCTTCTGTTGGAGAGAACAAACCAGCTTCCAGTTGAAGAGGAAATTAGGAAGAGACGATGGAAATGGATAGGGCATACATTGAGGAAAATATCAAACTGCATCACAAAGCAAGCCCTAACATGGAATCCTGGAGGGAAGCGGAAAAGAGGGAGGCCAAAGAATACAATACCTCAAAAAATAGAATCAGACATGAAAATGATGAATAAGAACTGAAAAGAGTTGGAGAGGATTGCTTAGGACAGTGTTGGATGGAGAATGGTGTTGAGCTGCCTATCCTCCTTCATGAGGAGTATTACGTGCAAGTAAGTAAGTGAGTAAGTAAGTAAGTAAGTAAGTAAGCAAGTAGTCACCAAATGTTTGACAGAAACATAAGTGATAGAATAAATCTTTAAATAAAAAATCATTTGGATTGCTTTAGTCATTCTATCCTGTAGTACAACAGTGACTATATCCCTCTTGAATAGTTGCTTCATGAAGAGAAATAACTTACTGAACATCAAGTTATTATGTATAAATGATCACAATTGAATTGTAAACTTCATTAAAAGTAGCATTGTCTAAATTGTGTCATACTTAAAAAGGTAAAATCAACAAAACGTGACAGAATATGCTAACCAGTGATATATGTTAATTGCTTTGGCGTAAGTTTCATAATTCCCATATAGTAGAAGTAGTAGTATTAGTAGTAGTATTAGTAGTAGTAGTAGTAGTAGTAGTAGTAGTAGTAGGAGGAGGAGGAGGAGGAGGAGGAGTAGTAGTAGTAGTACTAGTAGTAGTATGTGGGTCCTTCTGAGGATTGCCTCGATATAATCTTAAATAGTAGTATAGTTCAATTTTATATAAGTGGATTATGTCTTAGAATTAAAATATTTTTTACTTTGCAAAATTCATTTTGTACTACGGTCAATAATTCCAGGTCATTGAATAGTAAAACTAGTTTATAAATGAATGTCTCCAAATGCCTTTATAACTCAGAATAAATTATCATAACACAAATTTATTTGTATATATCGACAATTTAGTTGATTGGCTAAATGATGTATATATTATAGAGAGAGGGGGGGGGAAACAGAGGTACCATAGATACCATAGACAAATGAATAGTTATAATTGTCTCTCTCTTTCTTTCTCTCTCTCTCTCTCTCTCTCTCTCTCTGTTTCTCTCTGTATCTCTCTTTCTCTCAATACATCCCATATGTGCATAGTGACATTGAGATAAAACCACTATGCAGCATAATCGAAATGTGATTAGCTGACAACCGAAAATTAGAAAAAACAAACAAACAAACTAAAAACAGGATTACAACAAAAATGAACAGATAAGTAAATACATTTCATTGAACCAATCAAATTATGTTTATTTCGATAAAGTTTATTTATCATACAAATACTAGTACTACTACTACTACTACTACTACTACTACTACTACTATTACTAATACTACTACTAATACTACTAATACTACTAATACTACTAATATTAACATATCAAAATAGTATATAAAGTGTATATTTTGTTAAATTAAACTTGATTCATCTATATTCATTTAATTATAAATATAAAGAATAATGCAATTAGTATTTATATTTACAATTATATTATTATGGTTTATACATATTACTCAACAATTTACTATTCATCGTAAATATTATCCACAACAAATACAATTTTCATCAATTCCTGAACAATTTATTGAAGAAGTTGATAAAGTTCAAGAAATACAAGATGAAGAACATGAATTATCACATCGTTCTAAACATTTAACAGATCATCAATCATTATTAACAACTTATCGTAATCCATTTTCATCATTATTAAAACGTAAACGTCATTCAAAATCAACAGATTCACGTTTATCTATTAGAAAAGATTTTATTACGAATAATAATAATGATTCAAAATGTGGTTTAATGTGTCATTTATTATGTCGTCCCGGTTGTTCTAAAATTTGTTATTCATCTTGTACTTAAAAGATTATACTACTACTAATACTACTAATACTACTAATACTATTAATACTAATAATACTAGTCATTTCTATATTGTTTTTCTTTTTGTTTTTTTTTTGCTTTTCTTGTTGTTTTCATTTCTTTTTTCTTTTGCTTATTATAATTGTATACATATTAGTCAATCTATCCAATTAATACAATCAAGTTTCTAGTCATTTGTTTCAATTACCTTTATTTATAATCTTCTAATATATTATATAATGATACATTTAACTATATTACATGATATGAATAATCATATAAACATACAATTCTTGTTACTATACCATGTGGGCATCTTTATCATTTGTTTCCATAGTTACAATAATGATAATAGTAATCATTTCATTCTTGTTCTCCTTATTACTATTACCATTACTATTATTATTATTATTAATATTATTATTATTATTATTCATTTAATGTCAATAGACATGAAACAAGATACATATCAATTATACCTTAATGTTCTTTCACTTATACCTGTAATAAGTATTATTAATAATAATAATAATATTGATTATTATTATTATGATGATAATATTATTGAAGAAAATAAAATTTTTATAATGGAAAAAAAATTTATTGATTTTTTTTCTTTTTGTTGTTTTTGTTGTTGTTGTTGTTGTTGCTGTGGACGAAAAAATCTCTTTTTCTTTATGCTTCTCCCTTTGTTTTTTTTTATCTACTCCATTTCATTTGAATGAATCTAATCTAAATTTAAGTGTTACCAGGATAGTTACAATGAATACCTTTGAAATAATAAGTTAGAATAAAGGTAAGTGAGTAGAAGAAAAAAAAGAAGAGGATAGAAAATGTAAATAATTAAGTTGATTTATTTATTTTATTTAATGTTAGTTAACATTGCAAATCGTTCATTTTTTAAAGTAGTGAAAAAAATAATAATAATAATTGAAAATCTACTGATATTTGTATATCCAGCTGATGAGTCTTAAATAAGACGAAACCTGCCTCCAACTGAATTCGATTTTTTTGCTTAGAAAACTTGTGAATAAAGGTTATATTGAGGCAATATAATAAGATTATAGAAATTACGAGATTGTTCAATGGAAGCAATAAGTTATTTTTATATTTTATATTCAGTATTATAAAACTTTTAGTGTAGTGTTTAGTCAATTCTAAATAGTTTTTCATTGACAAGTAAGTTTAATGAAAATGTAATGAATCTCTAGAAATTGTGATATTTGGTATTATACTTTATGATTTAACAAATAATAAGTATACTATTGTTAGTTCAATTCTAAACTGTTGTGTAGTATTTCATATCATTGATTCATATTATAGATATGTGAAGATTTGCCCCCAAATGCCCTGGTACGGCCGAGAGTGGGGAGAGTCCGCTCTCCCTCTCGAAATGCTCTCACGTGGCCATGCGTATATAGCCTCTGTCAGGGAAGTCTTACTCACTGCCTTCTCGTGGCTGGAGTGTTGTTTACAAAAATGAGAGGACGAAAAGCGAATGTCTGGCGCTTTAACCGGACCCCAAACCAATGGTGCACATGGGCTCCAGTATCCTGCCTGAGAGAACAAATGGCGTATGAACCAATCGTTGGTCACCGGCTACCATTGGACTGCATCTCCTTACGATACTCCACTGCCTTGTAGATCAGACGTTCAGGTCAAAGGCTCGGGGTGTGGCCTCCTAAGAAAACCACCTGCTTCGGTTTGGGCACCCGAGCAGTATCACAGCCCTCACACAAATCAATTGAGATTTGTGTGGCGCATATGTATTTGGTGCCTTCCTGTATCTATACTTATGTGTTAAAATAAAATAAAATAAATAATAATATGTGAAGATTTATTAAGGAAGTCATTTCAACGATAAAGTATCATTATGAAGGATAAGATAGTCAATTGTAGGTTCCTTTAGATAATACATATTCCATTTTATGAATTTGTTCAATCAGATTTATGATAATAGATCTTGAATTTTACCGGGGAAATTCATTCATCGATTTGGATAAATAAAGTATTAACATTATAGTTGATGTTAATTCATGATGAAAATCTCAAATCTAATCCTTATCCTTAACTATCCATTGTAAATCATCATTCATATTCCTTACATTAGTTGATAATTCTCATAAGATCACCGAGTAAGTTAGTCAGTTGTTAGGAAATGGGTACTTGGTAAGGATGGTAAATCAATTGATGAAATAGTGAAACTTAATCAGTTAAGATGGCTAGGACATATGTTACGTATGCCTCACCACCGACTGCCCCGACGTGGTATGTTTTCTGGTGTAGGAGTAGGTTGGAAGAAATATAGGGGCGACCAGACCAAAACATGGCACAAATCCATGAAGTCACTGACAAGTGAACTGAGTGAGCCATGTTGCTAGATGTAGACTACCTGGTTTGGGGTCCGCGAGACGATAGCAACCGATGGTTAGAGATATTGAATGACATGGCTCAAAATCGTTTGCAATAGAGCAGGTGCATCCACTCTTTGTGTTCTCTCAGACTCTAATCTTCTGAATTCTTCATGTCTCTCTTTGATCTTTCCAAATCTATTCCACTGGATTATACTCCTTAATTAACATCATCAAACCCTAACTTTCTCTATTACTACTTATACTTTGACTGCCTCTACCACTACGGGATTTGAATCGATAACTGAATCTCTGTGCTTATGTGATATGGCAACTCGAACTGATGTACGTACGTACGAAGTTCCACGTTGTTACTGACTGATTGATAATTCTCATTTAGCCCGTAGTAAGTTAATATAGGAAATAGAAGCAGATATAAAAAGAATGAATAAGAACTGCAAAGAGCTGAAAAGAATTGACAAGGACAGGGTTATATAGAGAATGCTGGGGCCTATGCTCCTTCACAAGGAGTAACAGGAGTAAAGAAGAAGAAGACGGTAATATATAGTCATCATTGTAGTTTTCATTTTAATATTAACTAGAATCCATGACAAATTACAATGATTAACTAATTTTGTATCATTCAAATAATGTACTTTCATAATTCAACAAATATATATACCATTCTATTCAATCAATTAGGTCATGTCCATATATAGTTTATAGAAGTATTTCAAAATGTCCTTGTCCATATATATTATAAAACATGAATTGAGTTAATGATAATATGCATTAGACTAAAATGTATTTTAATTTGGTAATTGATAAGGATAAAACTAAATCTATAATTGTAGTATTCAATTCTATCAAGTATAGATGTGATACAATCTATTCAACAATTAAGATACATCATATTCAGACAAGAATTTTGAAAGTATTGGATGGCTGTTTCATTCTAGTGCAAGACTCTTCAGTAATTAGATGATGATTGGAGGTAGTCAACAGCAAACCCAGAATCTGGGTTTCGTGCTACTTGGCACTCGTTAGTAAGATGTACCTACCACCTAATCTCACAATAGTGCCCGCACTGTCGAGTCACCTAGACTGGTGGCCACATTGCAATATTATCAATAGCATTCGATCTGCACTAATAATAACAACTAGACACGCATGACATTGATCACTACCCAGTGATCAATCAATTGTGATTACTCTTCAGTAATGCTCATCCATGATCTCGTCCCGCGAGATTCGAATATTTATTTGTAAAATATGCAGATGGAACCATTGACACAATTTAACAGATAGTTTTTTATTGAAGGAATTACTGAAGAACATTAGACAATCTAGAAAAAAGTAAAAGACTATGGGGTGGGATAGTCAAACGTTTTAGTAGAAATCATTTTAGATTGTTAATATGTTCGAAGTTCCATACAGAAATATTGATTTCCAGAAAGTATATGATTGCGTAATACTTTAATGAAATATGGAACCAAAAAAAGTTTCGATACCCTGTTTGTATCTAGGATCAGCTTTATTATAAGCCAAGATTTACTATATTTTTTATTCTAGGTGAAGTTTTCTTCTCTAAGATAGATGGTTTTGAACAAACCACTTGAACTATAAATCTTCTTCATCATTTCATATTTCCAATAGTTTACTCTAGATATTTTCTTGATCTTATTAGTGACTATGAGATTACTTCTTTATGACTATGAGGTCTTATGATGGATCAAGATCAATTAATTACTAAGTACTTAGATGCTGTCTTTAACTCTAAAGATCGAAGTTCTCATTTTCACATTCTACAACAAATATGATATCTCAACTGGCACAATCATATAGAGGACAAGCAAGTCGATAGATCATTTTATACAGGCTCAGAGATCTAGTTAGTTAAGCGCCTGGAGCAAGACTGGCAGGTCCTGGGTTCGAATCCCGCGAGGCAGGGTCGTAGATGCGTACTGCTGAAGAGTCCCACAATAGGACGAAACGGCCGTCCAGTGCTTCCAGGTTTTGCATGGTGATCTAGCTCCAATTAACTCATGATCTTAATTATTGAAATTACTATGAAAGTTGTTTAAATAAATTCATACTCTTAAATGAATTTGAATGAAGCTCAAATTCTTCTTGAAAATTTATTGAATTTGTAAATTATACCTTAATGTACTATCAGTAAAGTATGATTTGATTGACCAATAAACGAAAATGAACAGAAACTCAAGTTTACATATGTAACACTATTTACTTACTTACTCACGCCTATTACTCCTTGTGAATGAGTATAAGCCGCTCACCAGCATTCTTCATCCAAAACTGTCCTAGGCAGTCCTTTTCAGTTCTTTCCAGTTGTTATTCATCCTTCTCATATCTGCTTCTATTCCCCGACGTAATGTGTTCTTTGTCCTTAATCTTTTCCACTTCCCTTCAGGATTCCAAGTCAGTCCTTGTCTCGTGGTGCAGTTTGATGATTTGCGTAATGTATGTCCTATCAATTTCCATCGTCTAACACTATTTAGTACGATGAATTCCTACCTATTATTGACTTCTATTCTGGTTTCATTGTAAACTCTACTGTATGAATTGGATTAATTAAACTAGTGCCTGGCTTCATTTCTGGCTTTTAACTGCTGATCGTAAATCGTATAT